AAATCAAAGAGCCTATGACTTTCGTTACTAATGAAGAGTCCTGCCGCGGTCCAGCTGCAGCTAGGTCCAGGGTTTCCTGAAAGGTGGGTAAGGCATCGGCGATGGGAGACAGACGACAACATGCCTCAGAGGACAGTGATGCTCTGTTCCGTTTATTGCAAGTACAAGCAGGTTTTTATACTTTCATTTTTAGCAGTGATTGACATTTGCGATTAGGTAAAGCAGAAAAAAATTAATACAAAGGTAACCAGGAAAAATACAAAAATTCCCATAGATTCAGTTATATTAAACAAAGATTATTTTAACCAGGAGAGCCATGAATCAGACAATTAGAAATAGCTGTACGTACAAAGTTTGAATGTCTTATTGTTTATTAAAATTCTCAGAATTTGTTATGGGGCAAAACGATACGCTAAATTGAATAGAGGTTATAGGAAATTTATTACAAGGCCTTTGTGATGTCTAACTTACCTATTTACCTATTTACCTTACTCTAACTCCCTGGTAACTGTTTCTACATGCTTAATTTATAATAGTTAACCAGCTTTTCTTATTTCTTTGCCTGTCTAATTCTATTTGATATATATTCCTATTCAAGGTAAAGGTGGGGCTGTTACTCCAACAACTTTTAGACACTCAGGGGCTATTTCATTAGAGGGGATTTTATTCTTTGGTCAAGAAATTATTTTATACAACTTCATTGGAATTATGCAAATCAATAAACCTGAGATACAGATATCTGACAATCCCACCACCTTTTAATCTCCAAAACAAACATGTAAGGAGAGATAAACAGGAAATTTGACTACAATAAACCCTTTTTATTTCTTAGTTAATAAACACCAGGGAGGTCTGCTTTGAGCTAGCCTTTCCATGAAATTTAGACTATTATAAGGCACTTAAACTTCATCCTTATTGACCATTCTAATGCCACCCTCATTATATGCTCCTGTATAAGGCAATGGCAGATCTGGAACCCTCTGGAGACCATTAGCTCCTTTTGGGGGATACCATAATTGGCCAATAATCTAATATGCTACCCAGGGGTATCCCTGGGCTGTGGGTAAGGGTATATATAGTTTTTTCTTGTTTTCTAGAAAGACTCTTTGTATCTATGGGTAAGAAACAGGCATGGGAAAGTCCGCCAATAATTCAACCTATTGTAACTGATTTATGAATTCTTTTATGGGAACAATCGGGGATAATTTTTTACTCAGGTTTATAAACTCCTTGTTTAAAACAATCTGGGCATGATTCAATAGTCTAGGGAGAGCTAGTTGTCCCTTCAGAATTTCCCTCAAAATCAATCATTAACTCTTTTTGAACCTCTTTCTTCTCATGTCCTGTTCTTATGGGAATCGGTACAAAGTAAGACCATGATTAATATTAGCAAGGAAATTATTAAAAGCAATCCCCAGAAAAATTACCGCCCCCCTTTGTATGCTACGCTCTCTTCCAGGAAGATGGATACCTTGAATGCCCTCTTTCCATGTTCAGACCTTGTCAAAAAACATGGTTGGAAGAAGGCGTGGCAGAGTCACAATAACATATTCACTTCTATCTCTGAGGGAGGCTACCTGGGTAGATCTGTTGATGACTGTATTTCTTGAGTGAAGCAGGTGGGACAGAAATGTTAATTTATTTGAACAAATCGACAGTGTCACTAACAACCAGTGATGGCCATATCTATTATGTCTATTACTTGGATTTTCTGCCTCCCTTGAAAAATGCCCCAAATAGATGGGGTTCTTCATAGTTTGCTAGTTACTATTAGTGGAAGTGAGGGATGGGTAATTTCTTTCATGTAGATAGTATTAATGCTTAATGTTTAATCAATTCAAGCTCAGCCTTTGGTGAGCATTTCCAACTACTCTGCTCATTCACCCTCTGCTGCTGCCTATAAGGGCCTTCTGACTGAATTTAATTCTCTTCCCACTATAATTAACCACAAAAGGAGTAATAATACAGTATAGCGGTTAAGACCATGAATTCAAGATCTAGATTGCCTAAGTTTTTCTCTAAACTCTGCCTTTAGGACAACTAACATAACCTCTCTATGGCAAGTTTCTTACATGTGTAGTGTCCATGAAAACAGTATCCAAGTGAGGACTAAATGAATCACTACTTGCAGTATACGTGGAACACTGCCCAGCACGTCACAGGCACTCTGTGCGTTAGCTCTGTTAATGCCAGAAATATGCCAGGCATCAAGTGCTTTCTCTCAGCGTCAGTGTCTTGCTCATCTTTATTAGTTATGTACTGCTGGAAGGCAAATCACCCCAAGATTTAGAAACCCAGATCAATCAACATTTCTTTTTTTTAAATTTTTTTTATTGTGGTTCAAGTACAGTTTTCTGCCTTTCCCCGAACCCCTTCCCACCACCCTAGCCCTCCTCACCTCCCTCCCCCATTTTCACCCCCCCTCTTGTTATTGTCCATATGTCCTTTATAGTTATTCCTGTAAACCCTCCACCCTTTTCCCCCTTTATCCCCTCCCCTCTCCCTTCTGATGACTGTCAGCCTGTTCTCAATTTTAATGTCTTTGGCTATACTTTGCTTGTTTGTTCATTTTGCAATCAACATGTCTGATCTCAGAGTTTCTGTGGGTTAGGAGTCTGGACTGTTTTGCTGGGTGGTTCTGCTTCCAAGATCATTCACATGGTTATTGGTGGCCTGAGTCCCTCTCACATGGGCCTCTCAGCAGATCACTCACATGGCTATTGGCAGGTCTCAGCTCCTCTGCACATGGGCCTCTCAGCAAGGCTGCCGCCCCGCTTGGTGCTGGCTTTCCTCTGGGAGAACAGTCCAAGGGCGAGAGACTGGGGCAGGAGGAGAACATCTCTCTCTCTCTCTCTCTCACACACACACACACACACACACACAGTAGCAACGATCTTTTTAAGCCTAATTCTGGAAGTGATATCCCATTACTTCTGTAATATTCTATCCATTTTAGTCAAGTCACTCAATCTAGCCCATCCTTAGAGTAAGAGATTTCACAAAAGCAGGAATAGGGATCATGGGGGACAGCCTACTGTACCAACTGTGAACTAGTTCAGAGTGTCCCTAACTAATTTCACCTACATAATGTGTGTGTATATATATATATTAATGTGTGTATATATAGAGACAGAGACAGAGAGAGAGAATATTAATTTTACCAATGAGAGCCAGTTTCTAACATCTATCCTTTCAGTAAACACACAGACACTAGTTTTGCCAATAGAACCCATATTTAACATTCAATATACTAATTAGCAAGGCTTTATTGGTGGAGGACAGTGGCTTGCAGGAAGCCTGGCCTTTTCTGTGCAGTGCTAGACAACATTCTATAACACATGCTGGAGAGCAGGGCCACTTACATGAATTGCCGTGGACGTAGTATTATGCCAACTACACTGAATATTTTTTAAATTACAGACTTCATTCCTTCCCCTAAGATTTTCTCTAAGTTCTACCCAAGTCCTACATCTATGAAACGCGCTTATTTAATTTAAAAAATGGCTATAAATAAAAGCACAAAGGAAATCATAAAATGATAGAACGTCCATATTTTTCTAACGTACATGAGTCTCAGAAGGGAAAATCCAGAGAAGTGGAATGACTTTGCTGAATCCCACAGCACAGCAACCCAAAGCTCATGAAGTGTTCTGGTGACTTAATGAAGTTCTGGCTGGCATTTCTATTTCACAGAGTTTTGAGGACTTGATCCTCCACCCACTCTCAAATACAACCGAATAAAAGGAGGGCATTCAAAATTGATAAAATAGTAGAGAAATAATAGTACAGAAATAATCTATAAATTAAAAAAGGAAGGTTTTAAGTGATATAAGCTAATTTTATATGTAATATATATGATCTCAAATACAGAGAAAAGAAAAAAAAAGCCTGAAAGGTAATATCTAGATTATTAACAATGAAAGTTCTGAATAGTGAAATTTTACTTTCCTGTCAGTTCCAACATTTTCAAAGTAAAGCCCTGTGTGTGCACACGCCTACTTGAAATATATGAGAGCTTACCATAGTAGACTTTGAATGTCAATGGTTAGTTAAAATCCATTTAGAAAACTTGGACATTGAAATTCAGCTATCCTTGAATAATCTAAGACATTAACATTCAAACCTAGAAACTTCCTTCACAGCATTTTAGATGCAGCCTGCTCTGCTCCAGAACAAACACTGCAGCAATTTAATCTCTCCCAGAACACACAGTGCATGGCCCCCAAGAACCTGTCTTTTCCAGCTGCGGGACTGGTTTCCAACTCTTCTGGGTATCCATAATGCCTGAAATGTGGCCTATTTAAAAAAATGTTCCCCAACTGGTAATATTGTAATTAAATATGAATTTAAATAGGAACACAAGTATATCATTCTATCTTTCTGTTTCCTAAACTTGAGGAAATTGTTATGGCAAGCCAGTCTCGACGCGTGTCTTGCCTGCTGCAGGTTCACCCACAAAGCTCGACCGTGGAGACCTCCACTCACCAGTCTATACATCACCCATTTTCTGGAGCCACACCAGTGGTTTCGTGAGAATTCCAACTCATATAACTATCTATGCTGCCCACCTGTGGCTGCTTAAATTTAAATTGAAGTGAAATAAAATAAAATATTATACAGTTCCTCAGTCACACTGGCCACGTGTCAAGTGCTGAAAGAACTCCAGGTGTCAACTCCCAGGTTAGAAAGCACTCAGTTCCTGGGGCAGAAGAGAGAATAAGAACCCTCAACATTGTGGCGAATGATGCTAGTAGAGCAAAGCTGAAAGGATGCCTCACAGTGGCTGAGATATCGAAAGGTGAAAGGAAGCTAAGGATGCTGCACTACGATGGAACGAACGTAAGTAGCACGAACCAAGGTGACCTGGAAGTTGTAAAGCAAGAGGTGGGACATTTAAACATTGTAGCATTTGGTGTTAGCGAAGCAAACTGGACTGGCAACTACGAAGTGTTCCACTCTGGAAATGCAAAGTCCCAGAAGTGAGCGGTGGGTGAGGCGTGAGGCTCAGGACTGGGCCGGGGTTTGGATTTTCATGCTGGGAGAGACTCTACCCTCTTGTGGTTGGGGTGGTGGGGAGCGAGCAGCCTGGGGGAAACACACCCTCACAGCTCTTCCTGCTGATGCAATCTGCCCGACAGCCAGCATCTCCCTGCGAGAGGGCCGGTCTGCAGTCCCGCCGCCACGTGGAGCAGCCGCCTCCCCAGACCTTGCCGCAGCCCACAGCGCAGAAGGCGCAGAAGGCCTGGGACACATCGGGTTGGTCCTCCGCTCAGCGCCAGCCATCCTCACCGCCGCGGGAACAATGAAGGTAACAGCTTATGATTTTGACTGTATTTTACACAACGCGTGTGTACGGATTGCTCCTGCGAATCCTCAGAGATGCAGTTGGCAGAAAGGGGCCGGACGCACGGCCACCACGGTTTGTGTCCAAGCAAACCTTTGTTAATACCTTCTTTGTCAATCGCCTCTGGACGGGACCTTCCCTTCTCTCCAGACCGTTGAGTCTCCGCTCACGGGAGGTGCCTTGGCAGGCTTTTCCACAGCTGCACTTGTGAATGGAGATAAAAGGCTGCCGGCAGCTCCTTTCCTTGCGGGTTAGGGAAGGAAAGGGAGAGGAAGCTTTTCTCAATTTTTAAGATGCACAGGAGGTGGGGGACTTTGGAGAAGAGGTCTGGGGGGTGTCCCTCCCTGTAAATAGGGGTTTTCTGCTGGGTGTGCCTAATGAAAGAGGGAGGTTGGTGATCAACTAGGTGGCATTGGTGGCAAGGGGACATAGAGCTGCTGTGAAAAGCAGAAACCTCCTCTTATTTTGTACCCTGCGAAAATTAAAGCTTCTAGGAATTGCAAATCATGTAAGCCTGAGGTCGTCCTTTTATCAAACTGAGTGAGCAGCCCAATGGCCGCTATTCTTATGCTAATCAAGTGTAATTGGCTTAGCTCCCTTTTACTTCTGAAGGTTTAGGGGTAGGAGTAAACACTAAGCCTTCCATTTTTCCTGATCTCACACGTTGGAAAACTGCAGTGACACTGGAAACTGAAGAGCAGCTCTTGAAAAGGAAAGTGAGGGGTGGGCAACTCGTCTTGCTAGCTAACGTTGAGGAAGTAAGAGACTCCTCTGTGCAGCCCGCATTTTTAGGAGAAATGAAGCCATGCTTCAGAATTTTGAGAGGGAGATGGAGTAGGGTTCTCAACGGCCCTTACCCATAATCTCACAAGAATCAATAGGTAAATGGTGCCCTTTTCATCAAACAAAAATACCCAGTAAGACTAAGCAGGAACTGAACGGAAACACTGTCTTGTATTGAAAAGAGGACATGCAAACGTGCCACAGTAAAAAATTTAGCAGCCTTTTTCTTCTATAGTTAGATATTCTACTTCTGACTTGCTGATGCCTGTTTAATTGCATCTGAAAAATACACTTCGACTGAGTATAGTATTATTGAGAAAAGGAGAAAATTATGAAAATAAACAGCCTTGCTTTTCCAGCATCTCTGTCTCTTACATAGAATTATAGTTGATTATGCAATTTCTGTAAGTTCATGGCCTCCTTCACATGAGTTCAAAAACCCCTGTTTCTTGTACAAGGTACTTTTTTTTTATACACAGGAAACTAGAGGATACCTTTAAGGTAGTCTCATCTCTGTTTTCTGAAATTTTACTAAGATCTGAAGAGAAAGGGTGTTATTCTAGGCATGATCAAAGGAGGTTTCTTTAAATTTGATTTTATTATTTTAAAAAGTTTTCTACTTGCCTTTTACCCAAGTATTGCTATTATATTTATTAGTTTTTTAAAAATGTTATTTACACCTGGCACCATGATAAGCCCTGTCCTCAGCAAATTCTTAACAAAAGGTCTTGCCTGGGAGCTTGTGTTTTAAGATGGACACATACAGAAAGGGCAACTGAATCAGAAAAATAGTACACATATTGAATAGCCTGTGTGTAAAAAGGTTTTGTACATATTATGTTTTACTAGATTAATTTAAGGTGGAGATTTTAAAGAGACACATACCCTAAAGGGACAGTGATATGAGAAGTCATTGTCAAGAATAAGTGAAGGAAGGACAGAGAGCTGTTTGTTGGTAGGGGGCAGGACTTGAGACCTAGCAGTGAGATGGGGTTTCCACTCCAGACGCAGGATGTGGCACCGCGTGCAAGGCTCAGAAGAGACAGCGGTAGTTCGGCTGGCCTAATGAAGTGCATTGGTGGATGTGTGGTGGTGAGAGAAAAGGAAAAGGGGAGAAAAAAAGGCAAGAATTTAATTTTGGCCAATATTTCATTTAGTGAGTTTACATAATGAGCAACTTCATTTGACTATAGAACTACACAGAAAGAAAGGGGAGTTAAGGAAGTTTTTGTCCTGGCTGGTGTGGCTCAGTGGACTGAGTGCTGGCCTGCGAACCAAAGGATCATCTGGTGGATTCCCAGTCAGGGCACATGCCTGGGTTGCAGGCCAGGTCTGCAGTGGGGGGCGTGCAAGGGGCAACCACACATTTGATGTTTCTACCCTTTCTCCCTTCTCTTCCTTCTCTCTAAAAATAAATAAATAAATAAATAAATAAATAAATAAATTTGTTTATTTTTTTATTTTTTTTAAAGATTTTTATTTATTTATTTTTAGGGAGGGAAGGAAGAGAGAGAGAGAGAGAGAGAGAGAGAGAGAGAGAAACATCAATGTGCGGTTGCTGGGGGTTATGGCCTGCAACCCAGGAATGTACCCTGGCTGGGAATCGAACCTGGGACACTTTGGTTCCCAGCCCGCGCTCAATCCACTGAGCTACGCCAGCCAGGGCTATTTGTTTATTTTTTAAAAAAGAAAAATTTTAATTTGTATGCCAAAATTTTTCTTGCCTTTCGTTCATTGAAACTGAGGTCCAATTATTTGAAATGGGTTTAAACCCCTATGAAAGAAAGTTGAAAATAGTCATTTGATTATTACAGAGGTGTGTGCTAAGAATTAAAACCTAGTTATGATTTCCTTCAGCAGCTGTGTTTTTCGTGATTTTAGATTTTGTCCCTTAGCTCAGGTCAGGACTTTTAGTTTTATAGGGGAAGAAAGAGTTTTCCTTCTACCCCTCTAGATTCTTTGCTGAGATTCCCCTGTTATAAAACACAGGTTAACAAGAGAAAAACAGAAGTTTAATAACATGTATACCTCCAGCATACATGGGAGAGATCCAGGAAAACCTCGAAACTCCTTGAAATGTCCCAGGCTACCACCTTACACACCGTGTTCAGCTAAAAACAAACAACAAAGAAAACTGCTGGAGGAACAGTTATTGGAGGTTATCAGGGGCAGCCAAGTAAACAAAGGTAAAGTTTCATTCAAATTTAAGTAGGAGCCTTCTAAAGATTTAGTTAGTTATCTTTCTCTTCCAGGCGCAGAGAGGGAGACACCTTTACAAATGAGGATTTCCCTTATAAACATGAATTCCTCTTAGAGAAAGGCAACTTCTCTGTTTTCAGAGATTCTCAGAGGCATTTTTTGGGTGGCATATGCTGCTCCCCTTCGATTCTTTATTATTAATATCAAGATGTAGACCAGGGAGGTCTTGGCTTACTAGTAAACTAGTTCTGTGCATAAATGAAGCTTGTTTCTAAACTGTGGGTGTCTTGAGAGTTTGAATTGGTTATGTATTGGGATTTTTACCTTGTGCTTCTTTGAATGGCCTCTTCTCAATGGGTGTAGGAAGTTGGAAAAGGGAAGCGCTTTCTCTATTTCCATTTAGGGTTGGCAACCACAGTTTCACTAGTAACCAATACTTCCCTGCAAAAACCCACTGTCATTTTCAGCCTTATGACCAAGGAACTTGGTTACCATGTCAGAGTGAGAATCTGGGACTTTCCATGACAGGCATTTTTCTCCCAGGCATCCTCTGCTTTCAGTGTGATGCTATCGTTCTTTCTGAGCACAGGAGGCAAGTGTGACTGGTCTGTTCACTTTAGAGCTATAACTGTGGGCAGCCTTTGTGTTGTAACTTTATCCCTTAACAGCTGTCCAAATGTGCTAAATATTTAATGTGACTTATGGCAAACATTCCTCCTGACGGGCTTTCCTGAGCCCCTGTAGTGCATTTGGTAACAAGTGTCAGTGCCCTCAACTAAGGCCTCTGAAACTGGATTCTGCATAAGTCCCCTGAGATACAAATGTGAGGTGCAACTCACACTTCTGAAGTGTTTCAGAATTAAGGATTTGGGATGTTCTGACCCATAAACATAACTTTGCAAATATGTGCAAACATTTTTATCATAAGATATAGAATTTGATTCATAAAGTCAATGGTGAATGCAAAGCCAAAGCAAAATTGGTCATTTCTGTAACAGAGTTCAAGTGTTAGTTGCACCTGTGCTTCTAATTAATCCCCTCAAATTCACAAGCTGATAATATTGCCTTTAGAAATTGAGTATTTATATCCTTAAAATAACTTAGAAATTATATGACCTTATTAATACAGCATAGCATATCACATAAACATTTTTCGATTGTTATGTAGGCCATGGCTTTTTGTGGGAAAAGCTCTTTTGCCAAAAAAGTTTTCTTGTATTCAGTGGTTAATGAGAAAAAAAATTTTAAGGAAATAATCATGCTCCAAAAATATAGAAAAAGTCAAGAAGGAAGGAATAAAGGAAGATAAGTTTAAAAAAATAGAGAAAATAACATTATAGCAAGCAATAATCCAGAAGTTATACTGAAATACACATGCTTCTTTGGATATGAAAAACTGTGAAATACTTGTTAAATCAGTTAGTTCCATTAATAATAGTCCTATATTTCATCTAAAAAAGAACCAATTTATTAGTTCTGTATTTTGATATGTAGATCTGAATATTTGATTAGTTGCGTTCACAGTCTATCCCTTAGTTTGAGAAATGTTTTTCACTATTTTGACCCTGGCTAGTTATTTGCCTTAGGAGGCTTTAAGAAGCTTGGTGTTACCAGCAGAAACTTGGTTCTTCTTGCCAACGCAGTAAAGAATTACAGATCAGCAAGCCTACTAGCCTGCAAGCAAAGTTTATTAATGCTAAGTTCTAATGGGAGAACAAGAACAAGAGTAGCAAAAGTAGGGTGGCCAAAGCTCAGGTGGCCAGCACCCAGATGGCCAGAAGCCCCTTAGCCAGGGCCCTCTGTTTGGCAAGAAAAGGCCAGGAGCCAAGAGAGTGAGTTCTTTGTTCTGAGGACTTAATGTAGTTGGTGGAATTGGGGTGAAGAAGTTACATATGATTGATGGGTAAGGGTGATCCCAACTTCCCCCAGGGAGACATGACTACCCAAACATAGGTATGTATGGGGGTCTGTTAGCTCAAATC